TATTAAGGCCGGGGGAAGCCATGACTGTGGGTCTCACATGGTGACGGATGCACTGAAAACACCTAGATGGACAAAGTGAGAGGTTGGACCAGGCATTGTCTGTTGCATTTGGCACATGGTACGTTCTGACGGCTTTAAAGGAGAAGTGCATAATTAAAATAACCCACCCTGAGTAACCGTCTCTGTTCCTTCCTGGTAGGTGGAGACACAGCAGTCTCGGTGCTGATTGTCCAGAAAATGGCAGAAGAGAGCGCCGAAGCGACAAGCGATACCAGTAAATACTAAATACTTTGGTCTTAATTAAAAGGGAGCCTGCGGTGTGATTGGCAGAGGGACAAAAATACTGAGGGTGGGTTGCCTCCTCTTTTTTATGAGGGATAAAGACAGGAAACAAGGAGTTTTTGTTGCTCTTTGGTTTATGCTTGTTTTTAATGTTAGCAATTTGGGTCTTTTCCACCCTGAAGAACTCTGGCCAACAGGAGAACTGGTGGAGTGAAAGGCTGAAAATCTGGAATACTGTGTGTCTCCCATCTAGAGGGGTTCAGAGAGAGGTGACGAGAAGGATCAAGAGCCTGGGAAAACTCTCCTGTGAAGAGAGCTTAAAAAGACTGAGATTGTTACCTTGGAGAGGAGACGGGTACAAGGGACAGGATAATGGGTGGGATAGAGAGGGTAGATCTGTGTCTAGAACAAGGGGACACTCAATGGAATGGAAAGGTGGGAACTTCAAACTGATCAGAGGAAACAATTTTTCACAAACTGGGTACTTAGATGGTGGAACTCACTGCTAGGTGACATCAACCAAGAACTTAGCAGAATTCCAAGAGGGATTGGAGATTTCTGTGGAGAACAGGAAGAGCCAGAGTTGTTATAATGCTAACAAAAATGTTTGCAGAGATTATCCTCTTACCAGCCACTAGAGGGGGACATGGTACACAATTTGTCAAATGCATTGCCATGCTCTCTAATCCACTTGGAGCCCCTTAACCAGGCCAAGGGCGGGCTGTGTGGGGTGGGGATAGCAAGATCTGGGGACTGCCAGTCACTTTGGGATATGCGGGGGGAGGAGAAGCAGTGATGGACACATTCAAAAGGCCTGGGCTTCGGACACAGAACTGGGCCCTGCGTGAGGGGACTGTATGATCTGACCTTAAACGATAGTTTCCTTTGCTTTCTGGTAGGTAGAGGGGTGAATGTCGCAATGCTGCCGGGTCACAGACAAGTGGAAGAAAGGAGAAGAGATGTGGGTAAATAATTATATTATTTATTAGGTACAATATGGTAACATCGAGAGACAGCAGCTGAGCCCCATTGCGTGCTGCACAGACACACAACGAGAGACAGTCCCTGCCCCATCTGAGATCAGGGCCCTGTTGTGCCGGGCGCTGCACAGACACGCAGTGAGAGACAATCCCTTAAGGTGCCGTTCCTTTAGCTCGAGTGGTAATGGCTTGTGCCTTTAAATCCAGAAATCAGAAGTTCAATGTCTACTGCTTATGATTTTATGCCCTTTCTAAAGGCAAGTCCTGGGATATCCTGGTAGCCGCCAGATTAGCCCCAGTAACTCTGGGCAACCATGAAAATCACTCCCCCAATAAACCAGCTCATGGCGGCACGGTCCCTGATCTAGCAATCTGGAAAGTAAGAAGATCCTTCAAAGCCAGTGAAGAGAGCTCAGTGACATTTTTTAACCTTGCGTCTGATGAAGTGGGCATTCACCCACGAAAGCTTATGCTTCAATACATCTGTTAGTCTTAGGACTGGTCTACACTACGAGTTTAGGTTGAATTTAGCAGCGTTAAATCGAATTAAGCCTGGACAGGTCCACATGACGAAGCCCCTTTTTTCGACTTAAAGGGCCCTCTAAACCGGTTTCTTTACTCCACCTCCGACGAGGGGAGTAGCGCCGAAATCGATATTGCCATTTCGAATTAGGGTTAGTGTGGACATCAGCACAGGCAACCATGATGGAGTCCCAGGATCACAAAAGAGCTCCAGCATAGACCAAACGGGAGGTACGGGATCTGCTCGCCATATGGGGAGATGAATTAGTGCTAGCTGAACTCCGTTGCAATAAACGAAATGGCAAAATATTAGAAAAAGTCTCACAGGCCATAACAGGGACGCACAGCAGTGCCGCGTGAAAATTAAGGAGCTAAGGCAAGCCTACCACAAAGCCAGAGAGGCAAATGGAAGGTCCGGGGCAGAGCAGTGTAGACATGCTGCTTGATTCCAGACTACGTGCTACTGGCCTGGCGTGGTAAAGTGTCCTACCATGGCGGACTGGATAAGGCAGCCCTCCCCAGAAACCTTTTGCAAAGGTTTTGGGAGTACATGAAGGAGAGCTTTCTGGAGATGTCCCTGGAGGATTTCCGCTCCATCCCCATACACGTTAACAGACTTTTCCAGTAGCTGTACTGGCCGCGATTGCCAGGGCAAATTAATCATTAATCATTAAACACGCTTGCTTTTAAACCGCGTGTAATATTTACAAAGGTACACTCACCAGAGGTCCCTTGTGCACCCTCAGGGTCTGGGAGCACACCTTGGGTGAGTTCAGGGGTTACTGGTTCCAGGTCCAGGGTGATAAACATATCCTGGCTGTTGGGGAAATCGGTTTCTCCGCTTCCTTGCTGTGAGCTATCTTCCTCGTCCCCCAAACCCACTTCCGTGTTTCGTAATTCTCCATTGATGGAGTCAAAGCACAGGGTTGGGGTAGTGGTGGCTGCACCCCCTAGCATGGCATGCAGCTCCGCGTAGAAGCGGTATGTTTGCGGCTCAGCCCCGGACCTTCCGTTTGCTTCTCTGGCTTTGTGGTAGGCTTGCCTTAGCTCCTTAATTTTCACGCGGCACTGCTGTGCGTCCCTGTTATGGCCTCTGTCCTTCATGGCCTTGGAGACCTTTTCTAATATTTTGCCATTTCGTTTACTGCTTCGGAGTTCAGCTAGCACTGATTCATCTCCCCATATGGCGAGCAGATCCCGTACCTCCCGTTCTGTCCATGCTGGAGCTCTTTTGCGATCCTGGGACTCCATCACGGTTACCTGTGCTGATGAGCTCTGCGTGGTCACCTGTGCTCTCCACGCTGAGCAAACAGGAAATGAAATTCAAACGTTCGCAGGCCTTTTCCTATCTACCTGGTCAGTGCATCTGAGTTGAGAGTGCTGTCCAGAGCGGTCACAGTGAAGCACTGTGGGATAGCTCCCGGAGGCCAATAACGTCGAATTCCGTCCACACTACCCCAATTCCGACCCGCTAAGGCCGATTTTATCGCTAATCCCCTCGTCGGATGTGGAGTAAAGAAACCGGTTTAAAGGGCCCTTTAAGTCGAAAGAAAGGGCTTCGTCGTGTGAACGTGTCCAGGCTTAATTCGATTTAACGCTGCTAAAGTCGACCTAAACTCGTAGTGTAGACCAGGCCTGAGTGTGTAGAAATTGACCCCAGCTTCTGGGCAAATGCACTGAGTGATGCATTTGGTCTGTAATAACATGTATGTACCATATCTGTCTCACTTGTGTCTGAATTCTGTTTATATTTATATATAATATATTAACCGACTTTTGTTGTTTTTTAAGTAGCATGGGGGGGAAACTCTCTCTTGTGGGATTTGCAGGATCTAAGGTTTTCCTTAATCTTCCTCACCCTCACCCAATTAACATATCCTGGCTGTTGGGGAAACCAGTTTCTCCGCTTCCTTGCTGTGAGCTATCTTCATTGTCTTCATCATCATCTTTCGCGTACCCCGAACCCGCTTCCCTGTTGCGTGTTTCTCCAGTGAGGGAGTCATAGCACACGGTTGGGGAGTGGTGGCTGCACCCCCTAGCATGGCATGCAGCTCCGCGTAGAAGTGGCATGTTTGCGGCTCTGCCCCGGACCTTCCATTTGCCTCTCTGGCTTTGTGGTAGGCTTGCCTTAGCTCCTTAATTTTCACGCGGCACTGCTGTGCGTCCCTGTTATGGCCTCTGTCCTTCATGGCCTTTGAGACCTTTTCTACTATTTTGCCATTTCGTTTACTGCTACGGAGTTCAGCCAGCACTGATTCATCTCCCCATATGGCGAGCAGATCCCGTACCTCCCGTTCGGTCCAGGCTGGAGCTCTTTTGCGATCCTGGGACTCCATCATGGTGACCTGTGCTGATGAGCTCTGCGTGGTCACCTGTGCTCTCCACACTGGGCAAACAGGAAATGAAATTCAAAAGTTCGCGGGGCTTTTCCTGTCTACCCGGTCAGTGCATCTGAGTTGAGAGTGCTGTCCAGAGCGGTCACAATGAAGCACTGTGGGATAGCTCCCGGAGGCCAATAACGTCGAATTCCATCCACACTACCCCAAATCCAACCGCAAAGACCGATTTTAGTGCTAATCCCCTCGTCGGAGGTGGAGTAAAGAAACCGGTTTAAAGGGCCCTTTAAGTCGAAAGAAAGGGCTTCGTCGTGTGGACGTGTCCAGGCTTAATTCTATTTAAGCCTGCTAAAGTCAACCTAAACTCGTAGTGTAGACCAGGCCTGAGTGATCCACCCCTGCCTTGGCTTCTGGCAGTCAGAGGAGCATGGGGTTGTGTCCCTGACCATCTTGGCTAATGGCCATTGATGGATCCGTCCTCCAGGAACTTAGCTCATTCTATTTTGGAACCTAGTTATTTTTGGCCATCACCACATCCAATGACAGGTGGACTATGCGCTGTATGAAAAAGTATTTCCTCTTGTTTGTATTAACCCTGCTTCCTGTTAATTTCATCAGGTGTCACCTGGTGTTTGTGTTGTGGGAAGGGTAAATAACACTTCTCTGTTCACTTGTTCTGCACCATTCATGGCTTTACAGACCTCTGTCCTGTCCCTCCTTAGTCGTGTCTTTTCTAAGCTGAACGGCCCTAATCTTTGTAGTCTCTCCTCGTATGGAAGCTGTTCCATGCCCTTGATCATCATTAACTAGATTTATCCACTCATGGAAGCACTTAGCAAAACACGACCATTTTCACGCTCTGGCAGCATTTGCTATTGAAATGCCTTCGTCTCCTTTCATCTTTTTTTATTTTGCAGATTTCAGCCTAAAATGCATTAAAGATAAATGGATCCCAATTACCGTTACTGTTGTCATCACAGCATTGATCATCACCATAATTGCACTGGCGGGTGAGTGAAGGGTCATTACTAACCCAGCTGATTCTCCCTCCCTTGTCACTGATTCTTCATTGACTGCTTGTCCTAGCCCCAAGATCATGGTGCCCACTTGCATTTCCCACGGCCTCTTTTCACCCAGTGGCGTAGCCAGGGTCTAAGAGCAGGGGGAGCAAACATTAAAAAGGCGCCCCCCCTTGGCTCCTCTTCTGGCCACACCCCCATGGCTCCTCCTCCGGCCGCTCCGCTCCCCCCCCCATGGCTCCTCCGGCTGTGCTGCGGCCATGCTGCACCCTCCTTCAAGCCTGGGGTGCGGCAGCCCCCCCAGTTCCAGCCCCGTGTGTGTGCAGGGAACAGAGGGGGTTACAGCCTAGATCGGGGTTACAGGGCCCGGCTCTGCTCAGGGGTTCTGACCCCTCACGGCTGGCCAGTGTGACCGGGAATGCAGCTCCTGGCAGGTCTGAGCCCCTTGGGCAGTGGGGCAGTTTGGGGGAGTCTCTGCGCTCCAGGCTGAGCACCGGCTGCCCCGAACTCATCCCCCGCTTGCCCGGCTCAGGCTGGGCGGCAAAGAGCCAGAGGCTCCCGCCTAGGCTGACATCCCCGCAGCAGCCCCTTGCCCCTCACGCCCCCCTCTAGCCAAGCTCCTCTTCTCCACCCCCTCGCCCAGCCCGTCCCTCGCTCTCCCCCCGCGCAGGGAGCTGGGCCAGGGCGGCGGCAGCGGCCACTACCGGGTAGGAGCCGCAGGTGATTCCCCATGTTGTTGGGCTCTCCGCCTCCTTCCTTGGCAGCCGGGCGGGAGGAGGAGCCGCCTGAGAATCGCTCTGACCTGCAGCCACGGCACAGTGACCTGTAGCGCCCAGTGGGGCGGGAGCAGCTGGGAGAGCCGCGGGCCGGGCCGGGCGCCCCTCACCATGTCACTTCTAGCCCCCTCCCGCTACCGGCAGCGGCGGGGTTAACATGAGTTTGGTGCGAGGCCGGCGCGTGGATCCCGCTCAGAGCGCGGGGCTGCCGGCGCCACTTCCTGACAGCCGGGGCAGGGGATGGGGAGGCTAAAGGCGCCCCTCGGCCAGCGCAGCCTGGGGCCAGTAGAGGCTGCCCATGGTGGTGAAGTGGCCTGCCCAGGCGCGCTTCAGGCAGCAGCTGATTGCTCCCCCCAGGGCTGCGGGTTCCCTGTGACCCCGTCTCCCCGCACCGGCCTGGACTTGGGAAGAGAGATGGATGAGGCAGCCACAGGTAGCCTGCAGCGAGCACAAGCCGATACTAACTAAGGCGCCACTTTTAGAAAATGTGCTGCACCCCGCAAGCTACGCTACTGTTCTCACCCCATCTTTGCCCTGGTCTGACTCCTCCGTTGAAGCACATTCCCCTTTTCAGAGGGGAAATCTCTCTCCAGACCCTTTCCCCCAAAGAGGAAGGGCTTAACCCCATTCCCTGCCCCCTGGGAAGCAGCCCCACTAGATCCCAGGCCTGGGTAGCGGTGCAGGGATGCAGTGGGTGGGTCTCCCTGCCTCCCACTCCCTGTGTCATCCAACGCCCAGTCTCACCTTAAACTGTTGTAGGTTTGGGTGCCACCATGTGGCCATGGCTCACAGCGCGTCTCGAAAATTGTTTCCAATCTATTTATCGTTGTTCCTCCTCCCTCATCCGCCGTACTGTGTGTAAATGCTACTGGCAGTCTCAGGCAGAGGATTCAGTTCCCTGATCCCGGCCAGTCTCTCGTGGCTTTGGGAGCATTTCTGAATTTCTTTTCTGTGCCAAAGCTCCTCCATAAAACTCACGTGACGCAGAGAATCTGTCACGCTGTACGAATTCTTCCCATTCCTGGCTGGGTGTCGCTGGCACAGCGGAAAGGGTGTGTTGGAGTGTGTGCGCCCTGCCCCCAGGAACCGAAGAGTTCCCGGGATTCCTTAGCGAAGAAAGATGCTGTAAGGAGTGTGCGGTGACAGCTGCCAGTGCTGGAGTGAGGGGCTGGCTGCTTGGCCTCACTGGGCAAACAGACCTTCACAAGGAAATGGTTACAGGGAGGAACACGCTGTAGGGGTCGGGTTGGGCTGCGTGGAGAGTGGGAGACTCTGGGCTGGATCCTTAGACCACTTTACACCATTCTGGGGACTCAAGGTGGATCCAAAGAGCCCTCTGAGAATCCCCCCAATTCAGGGGCCTCCCCAGCTGGTGTATGGGCTCTGCACCCAGAGTGTAGGGGATGGGTTGGGGTTGTGGCCAGAGCACGCTGCATTACAGCTGTTCTGTGCTTCCCAGGTGGCCTGAGAAGCAGAGGGTAAGTTAGAGCAACCCTGAGGCTGCTCTAAGTCACACCAGGGGAAGGTCAGGGCCCTGAATGGCCCCGGAATACAGGAAGTGCAAAGCCAGCATCTCTTCAACATGTGCCAGACATCCACACTTGCTGTTTTGTTACAGTACACGTGCCAGCATTTCTACCGATAGTTAATGCGTCTTTGCGTTGGGAAATCACATGGCTGGTAAAAGTTTCCATTGACCTGAACTGAAATTATTTCTGGCTTTTCAGTTCATGAAAATATTTGACTTTTCTCCCCGACTCAGGAAGGGAAAATTTTGTGAAACCTCGAACGTTTTTGCAGGATCTTGGGAAAACCATTTCCCGCATCCCTCTTGTTAGGCTCCTTCGCCCTCAGTTTTAGTGGCTGCTTTAGTGGCCTGAGTGGAACGCCTTGGCGAGTGTGGCCTTTGGGCCCAGCCACAGAGAACATGAGTTGTTCTAGCCCCACCTAGGGGCTCTCGGCTCTGATATTACAGGTCTCGCTCTTCGCTCTGGAGGGCCCCAGTTCTAGCCCTGGTGTGGCAACCGTCACATGTGTGTACTGAGGATGGTACATCAAGGGGGAGACCATGAAATGCAGCCAGCCCTTCCATTTTTCACCCCTTGCCCCAAGGTTTGGCGGTCATGGGGGATAATCAGCTGAATACGAGCTCCCAGTGGGGCACTGTGGCCAAAGGCACTAATGCGACCCTGGGACGTATAACCAGGGGAATCTCGAGTAGGAGCCGAGAGGTTATTTTACCTCTGGATTTGGCCCTGGTGCGACCGCTGCTGGAATCCCATGTCCAGTTCTGGTGCCCACAATTCAGGAAGGATGTTGATAAATTGATGTCAAGTATCAGAGGGGTAGCCGTGTTAGTCTGAATCTGTAAAAAGCAACAGAGGGTCCTGTGGCACCTTTAAGACTAACAGAAGTATTGGGAGGTGCCACAGGACCCTCTGTTGCTTGATAAATTGATGCTGAGCCACAAGAAGGATTAAAACCTGCTTTATAGTGATAGACTCTAAGAGCTCCATCTATTTACAAGAGAAGGTTAAAAGGGTGACTTGATCCTACTCTACAAATACCTACATGGGGCACAAATATTTAACATTGGGCTCTTCAGTCTAATACGATCCAGTGGCTGGCAGTTGAAGCTGGACAAACTCAGACTGGGAATAAGGCATCAGCTATTAACAGTGAGCGTTATTCACCCTCGGAACGAGTTACCAAGGGGCGCGGTGGATTCTCCATCACTGACAGTTTTTAAATCACGATGGGATGATGATGTAAAAGCTCCGCTCGAGGGATTATTTTGGGGCAGTTCTAAGACCCGTGTGATGCAGGAGGTCAGACAAGATGATCACAATGGTCCCTTCTGGTCTTGGGATCTCTGCAAAATGACAACCCAGGGCCGAGACGTGTGGTCTTAGTGCCCTCTCTGGCCAGGATTCCAATGCAGAGACAGACACCAGGGATAGGCCCATCTCTCACCACTGTGCTACTTGCTTATTTTCAGCAAAGAAGACTCCCCCCTGCCCAAGCTGCCTGCGCCACATCACTGCTGCGTGCCCGGGTGGCTGGGTGGGATACCAAGGGAACTGCTACTACTTCTCAGAGACTGAAGGGAACTGGAGCGCCAGCCAGAGCCACTGCTCTTCCCTCAACGCCTCCCTGGCTTCCATTGACTCCCTGCCGGAGCTGGTAAGGAAGAGACATGAACCTTCATAACCACAGCTAGGGACATGCCAGAGCCTGGCGCCCCCTGAAGGCCTAAGGTAGCTCCTAGATTCAAGGAACTGAACCCCCTGCGCAGCTGGTTGTAAATTGGAAATTCAGGGGCAGGATTTGACATTTTTTAATAGAAAATAGTTGATTTCCCCCCAAAATGTCATTTCAGTTTGGGGTTTTTTAAATCTCATTTTTCAAAATTTGGGGTTCCCTCCCCCTCACCCTACCCCCGTTTTTTTTTTCCTTTTTCCACATCATTTTATACTGGAAAAACGGAGAAAAAATAAAAAGCATGGGGAAAAAGGTGTGGAAACCCACCTTTAAAAAAAAAACTATTTCCCAAACTTTTCCCAGCAGGAAAACAGTGCAAATGTTGCTCTGAAAAAGAAAGGAACGTTTTCATCTCAAAAGTATATGCCTCGTTTTTATCTATTGTGACGGGTCAAGGCCAGATGGCTACAGTAAAGTAGTGAGGAACAGGTATGTTAGCCCCATGCTAAACAAATCCCTGGTACCATGGTAACCAAATGGCAGTTGCTCCAGGTTAATCAAGACACCTGGGGCCAATTAAGATCCTTCTAGAAGGCAGTGGAGATAGCTACAGTGATTGGGACACCTGAAGCAAATCAAGGGCTGGCTGGAACTAGTTAAAAGCCTCCCAGTTAGTCAGTGAGGTGTGTGTGTGAGGAGCTGGGAGCAAGAGGTGCAAGGAGCTGAGAGTGAGCTGCTGGAGGACTGAGGAGCACAAGCGTTATCAGACACCAGGAGGAAGGTCCTGTGGTGAGAATAAGGAAGGTGTTTGGAGGAGGCCATGGGGAAGTAGCCCAGGGAGTTGTAGCTGTCATGCAGCTGTAGCAGGAGGCACTCTAGACAGCTGCAGTCCACAGGGCCCTGGGCTGGAACCCGGAGTAGAGGGTGGGCCCGGATTCCCCCCAAACCTCCCAACTCCTGATCAGACACAGGAGGAGTTGACCCAGACTGTGGGTTCCACCAGAGGGGAAGATCACTGAGGTGAGCAAATCCGCCAATAAGCGCAAGACCCACCAAGGTAGAGGAGGAACTTTGCCACACTATCTATATCTATATAATTTAACCAGCAATAAAGACAAGTGCAAAGTACTTCACCTAGGAAGGAAAACTCAAATGCATGAAGGCAAAATAGGGAAAAACTCACTAGGCAGTAGTGCTGCTGAAAAGGATCTGGGGGTTCCAGTGGATCACAAATATGACTGAGTCGACAATGTGATGCAGCTGAGAAAAAGGCGAATCTCATCCTGGGGTGTATGAACAGGAGTGTTGTATGTAAGACATGGGAGGTGATTGTCTAGGTGTATTTTGTCCTGCCTGAGCATGAGGGGCTGGACTTGATGATCTCTTGAGGTCCCTTCCAGCCATTCATTTCTATGATTCCCCAAAGTTGGGAAACTGTAAGAAAATGGGAGGAAACCCCCGGAGGTACAAAATGGGGGGAGGAGGAAGTATTTGGGCTTTTTAAATAAATTTTTCCTGAGCAAAAAATCTGAACCCCTTTGCCCTGTGTAGTTTGACTGGCAGCTCTTTGGGCGAGGGACCAGCTTTCTGTGTGTGCAGCACCTAGCGCATGGGGGCCCTGATCCCCGTGAAGGCGGTTGTAACACAGCTAAGGATATAATGTGTGTGTTCTTATCCACAGAATTTCATGCTGCGCTATAGTGGGATCCCTTACCGCTGGATTGGCCTCCATAGGGAACAAGGCCAGGGCCAGCCGTGGAAGTGGACCAACGGTACCATATTCAACAACCTGTGCGTCCCTTT